CTAGGTAAGAGACAGTCATGACACACACGTGCAGCAACTAGGGCTGCACGATACTAGGAAAAACCTGTCAATGATCTAAAAATCTTAAATGTATTATCTAGGGCAGCAGGGCTCCATCTGATTGGCCAGACACTCCCACTGTTTGGGTAGACATATTTCCAGCAGTGTGTTCCCAGTGGAAGAGTCCAAGTTGTCTTTTTGGAAGATAGGCTGTGAAAGCGGCCTCTTTAAAAAAGCAAATGTTTTAAAAAAAAGTTTTAAAATAGCTGGAAATGTATTTATAAGTGACAACCTATTGTATTAAAATATATCTGTCCTTGTGAATGATTTGCGGGAAGTAACTGACACCTGTATAAAAAGCAGAGGGCTGGAGAGTTCAGTCTCAGTTTCCCACTGCTGCGGGCCCTTTTTTCAGTGGTATAGCCGAAAGTTCAGTTCAGTCCTCAAGTTGACTCTTGTTTTTTTCATAATCATGTCTTTTGTATTTTCCTATTTTTGCGAAAATAGTCTCCATTGATAGAGTTTTGTTTTTTTCTAAATTTTGGCAGATCATATTTTTTTCCCTGTAAATATCTGCATGGGACTTCACTGCTGTAAATAAATATCACTTGGACTGCTGAACTTGGTCTGCAACCCTTCTTTCAAGTGTCTGGCTACTCGGCCAACACTCACACCACCCACGTTCCACCCATGACCTTCTCAACAGAGAAGGGAAAGAATGGTGCATCCACTCGTGCTGGAACAAATTGTTTGGTCAGGGCATAAGTGGTTCTCTCTGCCTCCAGAGCAAAAAACACTTTATTCCTTTATATGAGCGATCACAACGCACCTCTGAGGAAAGATGCACTAGCACACTTGTGGCCCTATAAGCCCCTGTTTATGTTCCCCTCAGTGGAGTTGATGCTGCCTGTTCTGGAGAGGGTGAGTTTAACCCTGGCTGCTTTCTGTTTGCTGGTGAAGACATGGTATACTGAGATACATGGGCAAGGAAACTTCAGTGGTAACGTTTGAAGGGCTATTCTTGAAAAATATCTCTGCTGCGGCTAGTTGGTCATCACCAAACACATTAACATTTGGATGACACAGCCCTTTCAGTGGCTCATGCTGTTCTTTCTGCTGGGACCACGATGCATTCGATATGTGAAGATTGGACCCCAGTTTTGGTGGCTGCTCTGTGGAGCGTGTACACATACCTGTACTAAGGGAATTGACTGAAAGGGAACAAAATGTTATTACTAAAACTCCCGTTCCCTGAGGGGAAGACCTTATCGCCCTACTGTGCAGCTGCGGTCAGTGAAGAGGAATCTATCTGAAGGAATACCGTGTTGATGGATGTACAGTTTATATGCACAGACAGGGCCTCCAAAAACACTGACACAGGTCATAAGCCTTAAAGACTGAATAGAGATGTCTTTGGTCAGTCCACGTGGTTGCACGATATCCTGTATTTTATGTGTTTTACCCAGACGAAATAATCAGTCCCTGCATTTTTCACTAACATCCTTGCAGTCCACTTGCATATGCGCAGCTAGGATGGCCCGTTGCTATGAGGACGTTGAGAAGTAGGTGTAGAGCTTTTGTACAATGCCAAGTATCCTTCAGCATAGATAAAACAGCATCAGCCACAATTTAGTTTAATGTGTGTGCCCCATGTGGCACAAACAGAGCTCTTGGACTCATTTCCAGGAGTCTGACTTGGACGTCTCTCATGTTTGACCCACCATCATAGGACTGTCCTCTGCAGTCCTCAAAAGGAATGCTAAAGGGATAGTTCACAGAAAAATTTAATTTACTCATTATCTACTCATGACTATGCCAATGGAGGGGTGGGTGTAGTGTTTGACTCTACAAAACAGTGTTGCAGCCTAATCCAATATAATTGAAGTAAATGGTGACCACTTCTACAAACATAAAAAAACAACTTAAAAAACATTAATGCCCAAAGAGGCTGTTCCTCCAAACAAGCTGTGTCCTAAGTCAGTCAGAACTGAAGGCCACTCAGCAGGGTCTGGTGACAGTGCAATCACATATTTACCCAGTTATAATAAAACCATCATTGATACTTACTAAATGAAACTTAGGACTATACAACAGGGAAATGATATATTTTGTTTATGGTATGCAGTGATGCACACATACACACATGGGCATGTACAAACACACCTACAGAATCTTGCTGGGGAGAGGTTGAAGCCAGTGGGTCTTCATCCTCATCCTCAGGCTTGGAGAACATTTGCAAAGACACCTGTGTGCCTGAGGTGGTGGATGGCTTCTCCTCTGGCCCTGTATTAGAGTGTTTTTTTTTAATATTTCAGAGCTAGAGCTGAATTTGCATTGAAAGGCAGTTTATGAGTTTACTTCCTAAATACATTTGTTGCAGAATAAAATAGATGCCATTATTCACATTAATCAGAATTTGATGGCGTTTTCACACAAACCAAGGTTTACATATCTTTATTACATTGATTACATTTGATCTGGATAGAATTCATTTTAAATTACATTACATTTTATTTAGCTGACACTTTTATCCAAAGTAACTTACAATAAGTGAATCACCCATGAGGGTACAAACCCAGAACAACAGGAATCAAGTAAGTACAATTTGCTTCAAAGAGCCAAACTACAAGTGCTACATGTAACTGCAATATAAGTGCAACTAAACTGAATTTTTTTAATTTATTTTTTAACCAAGGTGTAGTGGGAATAGAAGTGTTTTTAGTCTGCGGTGGAAGATGTGTACACTTTCTGCTGTCCTGATGTCCATGGGGAGCTCGTTCCACCATTTAGGAGCCAGGACAGCAAACAGTCGTGATTTGGTGGCAGTGAGGGAGCAGCAAGCCGATTGGTCGATGCAGAGCGGAGTGGATGGGCTGGGGTGTAAGGTTTGACCACGTCCTGGATGTAGACTGGACCCAATCCCTTCATAGCATGGTACGCAAGTACTACTGTTTTGAAACAGATGCGGGCAGCCACTGGTAACCAGTGAAGGGAGCGAAGGATCAGTGTAGAGTGAGAGAATTCAGGGAGATTAAAGACCAGTCAAGCTGTAATATATATATATCTATATCTATTGGTTCAGACTGTCTTCTGAGGTATCTTTACATCTATTATTTTGGTTTGGACTAAACGTAAGAGTCTGAAGTTCCAGACCAAACAAGGTAGGTGTGAGAGCCCCCTATAGGAACCAAATAAACCATACAACCTTCTTGGCCAGTGGTAAGTGTAAGACCCATCCAAAAAACTAAATAACTAAAACACATTTTCTTTAGAATAATAGCATAATTTAGGCCTACATGTCTTTAAAATGTCTAGTCCTCATTTCAATGTAAATACAAATCTAATCATTTGTGAAACAGAGTTTCTTTTTAAAAAGTACCTAAACTATATAAAATGTTAATTTTCAGCATTGGAAATTTTGCTTATTGAGCTCAGGACCCAGACAATGTAAGTACAGAAAACCTGGTGGTTGGGAGTGGTGGGAGAGACAAAGATCTATTGGTGGATTATTAAATCAGATCATATTTGGTTCAAAATGATAATATGTTAATGTTCCAATAAGACAAAACATAATGTTTTTTTAAACATTTATTTCAAATAAAGCTGAAGACAAGGACCTTGAACTACAAACCACTGAGAAGAGTGTGTTTTCCCCTGTGAACACCAGTAGCCCTTGTCCCATGTCTCCTGCTGAAGTGCACACACTGAGGTATAGATTATTGGCTTGGTTAGGAAAATGTGTTCGGCTACTTCAAATAGTGTTTGTGCAATTCATTCCTGTGAGTTGATTTTATTTTTGCACTGAGGGGAGTGGAAAAGACATGCAAACTAGGCCCTCCAGCAGCGAGTACTGTCCCACTGTGTCCTACTGGACAGCCAGGATGAGGAAAGAGACAGTTAGAGACAGGAGCTGGCCTTTCCTCTGTCTAAGGCATGAGAAACCAGATGCCTCAAGAGAGGATTTCAGCAAGGGTTACTTTCTGTACTTTGACCAGTTTGCCCATGGTGCTGAGCCATAAGAGCCCTACTGCCCCACCACATGACTGAAGGCTGCACCCCCCTCCTCGTTTTTAAACCTGGTATTCTGCACATTGAAGAAGTTCTAAAGTTGAATCTTTAATCTTTTAAAGTTAGCCTTGGAGTAAGTTAGTCATCAAGGAGAGGTGGGATGAGCTGTCAGCTTCACAGTACTCTGGATTGAGCTATGAAAGAGGTTGGTGTCATTAAACCTTGCACATGGTCAGAATTTTCTGTACCCATTAAGTGGCTCCCCATTCATTTAGGAGGGGGCCTGGTCCGATCCTGAAATAAGTGCTGAGAACTACTGAGTGGAGAGACTTGCCTCTGAGGAATTTGCATGATTGGATGAAAGGTGAGAGGGTGATGACACCATTGTCATGAAGTGACATTATGAAGTAGAAGTTGACACGGAAAGTGGAATTGACAAATGACGTGATGAGGGCATTGTGTTAGCAAACACTGTCATCCTGGAGCACAGTTACACTTCATGTGTTTGAGCTTATCTATAGATTGTGTGGATATTCTATGAGATGACTGAACTTGACAGGCTGAAAACAAATAGATATTCACCATTTACCTGTCATTATTATATTAGATTTTTTACCTGGCAGTGTGCTCAAAGCTTTTGTATGGATTTGAAGAAAAGCTGCAGCTGACAGAATGATTTCTGAGTAATATGGAGTAGATGGGACGTATTTTTCTCTCTATTCTTTTATTTTAAAATCATTATCATAGTCATCATTTTCTGGCACATCCTGTGTTTGTCTTTTCATCCGTGCATGTGTCAACAGCAGTATTTGGACAATCCTGCCAACACCCTCGCAAATAGGCAAGTTTCCAAAGACTCGCGGAATAAGGAATACCCCCCCCCCCCCCCCCCNCCCCCCCCCCAAAAAAAACTGTCACTGTGGGCGTGTCTTTCCTCCGGCTGGAGTAAATAGAGGCGGCGCAGCACCGTGCGCTCCGGACAGGGACTGGCCGCCTCTCAGCGCTCTGACACCGGCTGCCACATGAGCAGCGCTCCGCTCCATCTCTGCACCGCTCCGAGCTGCGCGTCTCCCGGGCTCCAGGATTAGACACGGATTATACGATACAGGTCGGTGTGTCTCTGCTGACTCTTTTCAACACCTTTTCAGGGGAGACTGTGTGTTTGTGCGTGGGTTTGTGTTGATGTTGTGGTGCATCCAGAGAGGCTACTTCGGGGCATGCTTTTGTGGCTGCGAGCTACAGGTGTGCTGGTGAATGCAGTCTGTGCGGGTAACGCGTGCTGACCGGGGAGGGGGGGGGGGGGGGGGGGGGGGAAGCACACTTTACGGGCATGTCACAGGAGACGGTCCCGGTCCGAGCTGGGCTGCTTAACGTCCTGCCACGACTTCAGGGGCAAAGGTAAGTGGACTCCCGGCCAGTGCGCGCTCTCCCCGTCCTCTCGCCGTGCGTGCAGACAGACACTGAAATGCAAAAAATAAGCCCATGACAAACAATGAAGTCTCCATGAGGATAGGGTGGCACCGCTGCTATGATTTGGCTTTACCTCAAGATGCTGCTGGAACACTGCTTTTTCTTCTCGGCCAGAGACAAGACACATTTACAGGCTTGGGGAGTTTAAGAATCCCCTCGAGCGTGAGAGGTTGTTATCTTTAGCAAAGATGGGAGGATTTACGCAAGACAAATACGCGATGACTTCCGATGTGCCGGTGCTCCAGGTGTCAGATCAGCGGTCAGTTAGCGCAGGGCTGCGGTCTGCAGGTTCTCCTCCGTGCGCTCTGTTCAGCGGTGGTGCTCCAGAGGAAACAAGTGCACTGAGCTCTCCAGTCTCCTTCCAACAGGTCAGTGGATCGCTTTCCTCCCTAACGCTGTTTATCACCTGTGCAGATCGGTGTAGCCAGAATTGTAATAACACTGAGGAGCAAAGTCCCTCATTGCACCCCTGCCCTCAACCTTTCCTTCTCCACATGTACAGACTAGAATGGAGGTTAATTTTAGATCTTCGATAATTGTGCACCCCCCCCCTCAGTGGCAGGATAAAAATCCAGTGGTGATATTGGCCGATTTATATTTTTAGATTTGCACAGTCAAATTCTACCAATTTCACCTAGGCTTAATATTGATTTGTGTTTCTGTAATTTGAAGATAACACCTTAAATTTAAAGCGTAATTGTAGCTCCATTAGACTGAATGTGTTTCTGGTAGTTATAATATACACAGTATTCATGTTTCATTTGGTTCCATGCAGATCCCCTGGGCCACTTTAAAGTAAAATATACATTTCATACTAATGCCCGTAAATGATTAGCACAATATTAAGCAGTGTCCATGTCTGTAATGCTCACTGTGGTGTTCTGATGATTGTTACAGTTCTTTGGTTGTGCCACCTTTTAAACTCCTTATGTCTTCATTTGCAACGGAACTCAACCATGGTTAAGGCAGCTGTTTGGTGGTTGTGTGCTCGTGAATTGTGGGATTAAGTGGAATCTGCGCTTCGGGTGATGAACTGATGATGCCTCGGAGCAGTCTGTGGCTGACTGGTGTCTCCCCCTGCTCCCTTAACACCTTCAGTGTCCTCCAGAGAGGGCGTCAAGAGGATGAGGATGAGGAGGAGTGCTGTAACAAAGAGCAGGCTGGGGATGAGTGAGATAATGATCAAGAGGAGGAGGAAGAGGATGATGGCATTGTTGTGGAACAGAATTTGTGTCTGAGTGACCTGCCCCCCGCAAAAAACGAGTTACGCAACCATTTGACACCAAAATAAGAGTCTCGAAATGTGCAATAGAAATAACGGGGTTGTCAGTGTCAGTTGTCAGAGGCTTTTGATGATGAAAACAGAGAATAATGGAGGTGTGGAAAATCTGGAAAATGAACCAACCATGAGAGCGAGCTGCCTCCCAGGGTGTGAAGCTGGAGTGGAGATTACCAAGCCGCGGCGTAGTGGCAGTTCCTTTCATCTACAGCTGACTTGCAAATGTACAAGCTGCTGCAAGAACTGTTTTGTATGTGTGTGAGTGTGAATGTGACACTATGTGTGTGTGTGCATGTGTGCGTGTAAGCGGCTGAGAGATTCCTTTCCTTATAATAGGTTTGCATCACATATGAATCTGCACCTGCTCTCATGTGTCTGATCTGCTGCGACTGGTCTGGGTTCAGCTGCTGTACAGACTCAGTCTAAGAAGAACTGCACTACTTAAAAAAACAAAAGCTGACCTGCCCTCACTGTGAGCCATGTATCAACTGCGTCACAGAAATGAGGTTTACAACAGACAGTTGTGAAGGAAACACAAGTGTGAATGGACTCATTCCAATGAATATAATGAAGAAATTAGGTAAATTCACTTATCAGGCAAGTTACAAATATATTGACACTGAACATATCAGAGTTCAGACAACATATCCTTCCCTTAAACTTAACCAAAGTACTTTTGTTGCTTATACCACTAACAGTACCTTGGATGTGGACAATCTGTGACAGTTTGTCCACCTACCCAAACCACCTCACACTAATAAAATAATTGTTTCATCTACGAAATTACCTCAGCCTAAATGCAGCCTTCGCTTCACACGCTCATTATGTGTAGTTTGAATTCAGTGAGCCCGCCCTCAGATGACATCTGGCTGATCTGTCATGAAAACGACTGTGGGACATAAAGAAACATGCACACATGACCTTACAGTCCTTTGTGGCCATAGTAGTGTAGATTTAACGGGATAATGTGTGTGTGTATGTGTATGTGTGTGGCTGCTCTGGATACAGATTGATAGAACTACATGATCCAGTTTAATCCAGTGTATGAAAGCTTTGACAATCTTTTCTGTAAACACTGATGGTAATAAACATCCTGAACCCACCGCAAATTATTGTGGAGGCCACAACATTCTGTGTCTCTGAATCTTTTTAATTTGGCACGAGCAAAACTGCCGTTGAATTCATTTGAATGCATTTGCCACTAATTAAGACCTGATGTTAGGCTGTTAGAGATGCTTCGTGAGCATGTCTGGCAGGAATGGAGCACAACAAGAGTTGTTGCTGAACCTGAAATAGTGTCTGAAGAAAACCTTGGACTGCAGATACATGCAATTGTATTCCTGCAAGAAGGAGGGAAGGCTATCTGGGAGAAAATATCAGTCAAATAATTCTGCCCAAAAGTCAGCTCAAACTATGTCATGAGAAGCCAGTAAAATGTTCTCAGCGTTTGAATCCCCCTGAGTGCTGGCTGCACAGGAGGTGGTTCTGCTTCTTGTTTGTATGGAATGAGAACTGTGTAGTTACTATGAGCTGTGAAGATCACAATGGTGCCACCTGTAAAAATGCTTAATATGCAAAATCATATTTGTTATATAAACAGTAATCAAGTTACAATGTCCAAGAATTTCCAGAAAAGAAAATACTCACATAACATATGCAAAGGCGTGCAATATAACACTTTGAGACCACACAAAGACATTGTTGTTTAGTTATTAGTTAAGGAAATACTGCAAATAGTAAATAAATTACATATATATATAAATAAAATCCTGCAACAACTTTAATGCATTTGAGCAGGACAAAACTACTAAGGGACCTCTACACTTTCTAAACACACAGACATGCTGAACCTTTTGGCCACTCCCGTATAATGTCTTAAAATCAGCCCTTTTGCAATGTGAGGGACACAACACCTTGGACACAGAAATAAACCTCTACTCTGCAGTCCAGGCTGGAGTTTCCACAGAAACACCCACACGTTCAGTAAGAGACGTAGCAAAAGGGAAGAACTAGCAGAGAGCTGCCACTGTGGATGATTGGGCCGGCAGCCAAAGGCCACTGTTTACTTGAGGAAATCATCAGCTCTCTTGCTTCAATTGAAAGAGGGAAATTTCTTTCCCCTCCAGTCAGGCCTGTCGCCTGCTCTCTGCTCCTCTCTGCTCTGGAGAATCATAGATCCATATTTGTAGTTGAGGTTGCACAGATGGAATCTAGAAATCTTTTTTGATTAATTTCTTCGACCCATCCATCAACTCCTTAATGAGCTGTGAAATTGTTTAGAGCTGTTGCTCTCCTGCCTGAACTTGCATCCCTGCAACAGAAGTGGCAAGACCCAACTTCACCCCACAAAAAATGTTCTTAATTGATGAAATAAAATAGCAATGACGGGCCTGCATGGATAACTGGGTGTAAATAGATTCCAGGCCCAGCCCTGGCACCTCAACTCACAGCTGCTCACGCTTAGTGTGCGAGTCTGGCATTCTTGTCGACTGGTGGGATCCACAAAGAAAACCCAGACAGACATCCACCTCTACCTGCACGTCAGCATCTTAAACTTTAAACACAGCAGCTGCCTAAAATCTGACATTAAAGTCACATAAGGAAGTCACGTCATCCAGACCGTGTTTGGTTTGGATCCCAAGAGTTTAATTTAGATCAAAGCGCCGAGAAGCGGGGTGTAGTGGGGCATACACCCAAAGGAATTCTTGTTTACCCACATTTTGGGTTTCAGGATCTGGATTTACCACCTTTGCAGGCAAAGAAAAGACCTCTGGGAGATATAAATAGCACACATGTTGTCAGCACATTGCTAAATGGACAAAAGCTGACAAGCAGATTATGTTGTGGAACTCAGGAAAGGAAAAAAAAGCTCCTTGCCACAAACAAGCACCTGTTTGCAACATGTAAAGGCAGCTGATATTTATAGCTATGCTTGTTGTATACTGTCTTTGTCATAAACTATAGGCTGGATTATTAAATACACAGTTAATGAGTTTGACCTACTGTGTGTGTGTGTTTTTAGGACTCTTGTTATTGAGGGTGCCAAATTTCCCTCAATAAATGACACTGAACTTGATAATATATGAGCACACATTTTATCTCCAGTAATAAAGTTGCGCTGTAGTTTTGATGCTGTTTTGACAAGTTTGCATTTCAGTGTCTCTGAGTTATTCCAAAACAAGACATGTTTGGATCCAACCTTCGTGAATCCAAGCTCGTGCACTTACTAAGCCTACAGGCTGTGAGTCTATTACTCAAAAGTCAGACATGCAGTGAGTGAGGAGTATTTTTTTCAGGGGGAAAATTGTTAATTACGTTCCGAGAAATCTTTACTTCCCACACTTATGAAGCTGTTGTAT